TCGGCTGGGATACTTTGAAAGGTATATAAATGTACAATGAACCCATCATCTACATGTTTCGTTATACATGATGAAATTGCAACAAGTCAGTTGATACCGACGTTTCACACTGTGTTAAAGATCTAATTTTCACTGAAATGTAGAATAAATGAGAGAAAGTTATTCGGTTTGCTTATTTTAATGAAATATTTATTGAACAATTTCAAATAAAATAATGAACAATCATGTACAATTGTGCATGTACCTCCTTTGGTGGGAAAAAAATAAGGTTTTAAAAATATGCAACACTTAAAGAGGAGAACATGTGCACAAGATTGATGCTTGCTATTCCTTTATGCTTATGCCTTTATGTTCACATCTACAAATTATAGTAAGTTGGATCATCAAAGCTACTGGTACTGTCTTCCTTTGATGGCACATTTTCCCTTGACGCTGAAGTAGGTAAAACGAAAGGGGTACTTTGAGATTGGGGTACATAGCACATACCGGTAGGTACTGTGCCTCAAAAGAATGAGGAATGTGGTACATTTGTGCTGAGCCCTGGGGGATGCTGCCCACCAACTCCATAATCAGATTCATCATATTGAATTGATGCAGGCGTTCCTCTCGTTTCTGTCTTTCTTCCGACTCCACTTTGGCCTCCAGTTCAATCTTTTTATTTTTGTTTTCTTTTCTAGCTCAAGCTTAATCTTTTCAATGCCAAAACTTTATCCTCCGACTTTTCGTTTGTGGTGCTGAAACCTTCCATAACGGTTCCAAGAGCTACCTCCAATCTACTCTTTTTTGCTTTCTTCCCTTTACTGTCCCTTTTCGCCGTACTTTCCTCCTTCTTTTGGACTTTTTGGGTCATTAGCCTTGCTTGCTTTGGATGTCTTCTTCTCTTTCTTATCCGGAATTCAATGTTGTTTCCTAAGCTGTTTCCTCGGTAAGGGTCCATACTGTTTCCATGGTCAAATCTGAATTTCTTGTCCATCGTCACTACTTTCCTCGCTTGATGAAGAAAATCAGCACAGCGTTTGCGGATTCCACTTTTGATTACCTTAACTGGGTAGGATGCAGGTCGAGTTCCCAAAATTGCATCAAGTTTTTCGAAATATTTAAATGTTTTCCTTCCTTTTCCACTTTTCTTCATATTACCTTTGCACTAAGAACGCTTCAGAGTATACATTACTTTGCTCTGGGGTCCGTTTGTAGCCTTTGTCTGTCATTTCGGCGGAAATAGTTTTGTAAATGCTTATATTGTTTGTTTTGGGGTTTTTTAATTGCTCCTCAATTTCAGTATCTTCTCAGATAGACCGCAATACAATTGTTTCTGCGATTCCTCTTCTTCTGGCAGCCATTTTTACGTCAACTTGGCACGCTTCGATTATACTGGGCAATGATGCAATACAGAGAGTATTTGCAAAGTTGCATGTGTGTAAAATTTGCTGTTTATTCACATGCCGAAAAATACACGGAATAAATGTACACATATACAAAAGTAAATTTGCATCTGATCTGAGTAGATGCAAATTAACATCCGGTCGGGTGTATATTTGCACATATGTATATTTACTTTTGCATATTTGCAATTGCGTTCACATGCTCAAATTTACACCCGGGTGCAGATTTTGCATGCGTGCAAAATTTACACCGGTGAGTAAATCACCGCATGTGAACGGGGCTCTAGAATCCTTATTTTTTCCGATCTTATTATCATCATTATCATCTACATCATCTTTATCATTATCATTTATCATTATCTAAATATGTCAGTAAGGGTGCAAATCTTGTTGCCAGCAATAATATGTATATTTATGTACTGAAACGCAAAAGAAACGCAACAAGCAGTAATTTACAAATATTTGAATTTTTTATCTAATGATTTTCAATGATGAATACAGTAAGGTTAAACTCGATTTAAAAACATCAGAGATTTGATAAAAATGTTAAATGATTATCCTTTAACTTTAGAAAGTAACTCATGACTGTTAAAACACCCCCCACCCCGGTCATTCAATAACAGCGTGCAGGACTGCCATGCACAACAATTGCAGCTTGATTTCTACGATGCAATAGGTTCATCAATCTCGAGATCTGAACGAAAGAAATATTCTTTGCCATTTTTAAATGCCTGTTTTTAAGATGACGAGGTCGAATTTCCTCTAGCCTAGCGCAGTGTAGTAACCCTTGGACTTCCGATCCGAGGACTGTCATTCATGCTAATGATACGTAAGAGCCTCTTGAGGCGTGATGTATTGCATATTTGCATCTGCAACTCTCCATCACCTTTATTTTGAGATTTTCCAGCTAGAGCAATGGAAATGCGTACTGAAGTCATTTTCAGGAAGCCTTGGCATAGCTTTCGGAAAAGAAAGATAATTTATTTTTCGGAATATTGTTGCATTACTCAAAATGACATATACAAACCATTAATACCCCTTATTATTGCCAAATGTTTTATTAAACATGCAATTTTTGATTTCTGTTAAGCGGACTCAAACAACTTCCGGTAATGGTATGAAAATCATTCAACCGTTAAATTGCCAATATTTACAAAGTTGAAGATATCCTTACTTTTTAGATACAAAATTATATCCTATACATAATTTATTCCCTCTAAAATAGGATGTTGCGTTTCTTTTGCGTTTCAGTATATGTATAATATGTACAATCATGTATAATTTTGCAACTTGTGGCAACATATACCAATTGACGACAATATGTGCAGTTAGGGGAGGTACACAATGTCGCCGACGACAATATGTATAAATTGACATATGTGCCGTCAAATTCGCGCAGCTTGAAATGAAATAACATACACTTCTGTGTGATTTACACACCAATTACTTTCATAAAGCTACCAAAAAATCCTTAAGCAACACTAACTGTCGAGCGACAATATGATTGTACAGTGAGGGTAGGTTCATATTGTCGCCGACGACAATATGTACAGAACGACATGAGGTCACATGAGGTCATTAAAATGTCATAAAAGAAAAAAAGTATGAAATATATGCCCTTGAAATTTCAAACACAGGAATTTGAAACGTTCACAACCATGCATTTTCTGATATTTTTTTTAAAAAATCGTTAGTATATGTCGTATTTCGTAGTTCTCCATAAAAACAGGAAAATTTCGTGGTTTTTTTTTTTTAAATTTTGAGATATCCCCTCTGGAAACCAGACAAAAGAAGTTTGTTTTCATATAATTATAATTATATAATATAGTATTTCTCATCATTTATTATAATTTCAGCAAAAAGTCTATTGTAGTATTTGTAAAATTTGCTTTGAAGTGTGAAAAACTAGCACTTTCCTATATAATCCTTCGGTAAATGTACCTGTATTTTGAGATGGTCCCGCAAAAAATACTCAGATGATATATTTTCCCGAAACATGGCATGTACACTGATTGAAGTCAGTGTAAGTTACTTATGATATAAAAGTAGGGTTTTTCCATTGTAGCTTTTACACAATAAAACCCCAGTCGGCTTCCTTATGGTCATTTTGCAATTTATAAGCGTTTAATGCTAGGCAAAAAAGTCTACAATCAGAGGGTATTTATTTATTTATTTATTTATTTATTTATTTTAAACTCGACCACTTTTTAAATTTCTATATATACCAAACTTTTTGTCATAACTTCCTAGAAAAGAAGAATTTAATTTTAAAGCTGACTTTTTTTCTCTCTCTCTTTCTTTATATTAGTACTAATTATATCCATAACATTAATCTTTCATCTGAGATTAAAACCCACGCTAGTGTGCTCTACAAAACACCCTTATTGATTGTGTAAACATTTAAAAGTATGTTGCAAATCAACAAATATCTCTGAAGGCTTGAAACAAATTAGTTTTTATTTGAAAACTTAATTGGTCCATCTCTGTAGAGTGCAATTTCTGAGATCATCTATCATTAGTGGCTCATGCATATTATATCGTTTTTTTTTTCTTTTCGGTGTTCCCTGCTGACATTTGATAATTAGAACTACATAAAGTACGTTTTTGTTTTTCTGAAATTAAACGAGGGCTGATCCAAGAGTAATGTAAAAACTGGTTTTAAATCTTTAATAATCGAATGTTATCGACAAAATTTTACGCCAATTAATTAAATCTGATTTTTTTTCCCTTAAAATTTCCTTCAGTAACTTTTTTTTTTTTTTTTTTTTTTTTTTTTAATATTAAGATAAACACAAAGTTAGGTTTTGTCTATCGCTGCTCGGCAAAAATGTTATTGACGTCGTTATGACGAAACTTTTCCTTTCATCAGCATTTTTTTTTAAATATAACATCTCACACGTTTCTATTAGAAATAATCTTTACTTCCATTTTGCTATTTAGCGTCTTGTTTGAAATTTGAAACATATATTTGAATATAAATCAAATCTGTACATTTTGAGAATGTTCTTCTGTATATCCTTCCATCACAAGAAATAATTTCCCATAAATCAGTTCTTGCCAATTTTAAAAGCGTTTTTTTTTTTAATTGAATGTTGTACAATTTGCAACAAAGAATTATATCATTTAATCAAACATGGAAAGTATCAAAGGTTAAAGGGTTTCATGGCGATAGAATTTCGTAACGTAATTCACTGTACTTTTTATGACAGTGAGATATTACAAATTTTGATTCACTTAAGATAAAATATTTTGGCCAAGATATTATATTTTTCCAACAAAGATACCATTTTCTATGCATTCCACCAGTTTATGACACGAGTTTTCTGACAGTCTCTTGATACTTTTATGTTTCAAAACACCCTATAATGATAATATATAATTGTGCATTTTTCCATATATTTCATAGATATTAAATCTTGAAGTAAAACAGTTTTTGCATGTCGAGCCCTTAATTTTTCTATTATTATTATTTTTATTATTATTTTGTTAGTTTGTTATTGGTTCAACTTTACTGAATTTGGACGAATACGTAATTTTTTCCGGTGGCGTTACTGGAATAGTTCACTGGATCCGCGCACCATCAGATCACGTGATACAAACAGGAAGTTCTGACCCACGTGTTTTGTAAACAAGCGAACTGCGTCAGACATGTCGATATTTATATTAGACTGAAAACGTAAAAAAAAAATCGAATTTGCTGACAATACCATGGTGGAACCTATCTTTGATTTTCAATTTAGACTCATTTTGATCGGCGACAGTACTGTGGGAAAGTCGTCTTTATTGAAATACTTCACAGACGGAAAGTTTTCGGAAGAGTGTGATCCCACAGTGGGAGTTGATTTCTATGCACGACTCATTGAAGTTAAACAAGGTGTAAGGGTGAAACTGCAGCTATGGGATACGGCAGGACAGGAACGATTTCGGTACACAGTCCTCTCTTATTAAGCATAGATATGCTCTATTAGAATCGGGTGAAATGATGAAAACTACTGTTTGTAATAATTTATTCAAAATGGCATATTACCAGATTACCATTCGATATCAGTACCAGCAATTGCAGCATATATGTGCTTCTCTTAAGATATACATGCATGTTGCAATTACGAAAAATAGACATGTTTATGTTTAGTAAATTATACAAAAAATGCTAAAAATAAATAAAAAATTATACAAATGAAATGTACTATATTCCTATACATATGCATGTACACATGACATATACCAAGAGTTTACCAAAGTCATGCTATGGTCAAGAGAAATACAGTTCTGACTCTAGAAGCCTATTAAATAACAAAACAAAGTAGTATGATGCAGTTACACAATTTATTTGTGAATGTAATTTTCCATTATCGTGGAAGGGAAACTGCACTTGAACCCAGCTGGACCTCCTGTCCATGCATGTGCTCTACCACTTTTAGCTTCTGTGCCTTGAAATCTAAACCCTGTTACTTTCTTCCCACATTCATCTTAAGGATTCCCACCTGGAAACCTCAACACATGCTTTATGAATCTGTTTTAAAACCACCTATTTGCCTTGTTGAATACCAAATACAACAGGAAAGAAAATTTATATGTTTTGGGACTTGATCAGGGAACAGCTAGAGCTCCTATTTATCATGCAGGTGCTCTACCATTGAATGATCTAGCTGGTAAATTACCAATCCCTTTTATTGATACCATATTATCCCCTGGAAATAAAATGTGAAGGGTTAAATATAAGGGAATAATTGATGTGTTAGTCATTTGGACCAGTAATCTCAGCGAGATTCGTCAAGACTAAAAATTTTGGACAGACGTCTCTTCTGAATCTTCGAAAGAGATGTCTGTCCAAAATTTTTATTCTCAACGAATCTCGCTGAGATTTTTGGATCAGATGCTAGAGGGTATGTCTAATAACCCTCAACCAAGGCCATTTGACAAGGAATACTGTGCAGGCTTCATGCAAAGGTAAACAGATCGAGCTATATATAGGATATGTCAGTATGTACATGATACATAAAGTCCACTTGGAAATGAGTACAAATCTATGTGAACAGACTATTTAAAATGGTCATATCTGTTCTTATTAAATATGCTGCAATCAAAAGTTCATGATGCATGTTTTGAGTATGCTCTGCTATGTGTGCATGTGTTTAAAAAAGGGGAGGGGGTCCTATAGGTATTAAGATTATACTTTTAGTTTTAAAATATTATGTTGTTGTATTTTATATGTGCATTATTAAGTCATTGAGCAGAGATTTATGTTAAATGCTTCATATAAATGCAATTTTTTACAGTTTGAAGGTGAAGGATGATTTTTTTTCCTTCTTTTTTTCCCATGATTATTACAAAAAAATACTTAATATCTGCAGGTTTATCTTTTCACATTTTAGATCTATAACCCGATCATACTACAGGAATTCAGTTGGAGCATTGATAGTATTTGACATCACAAATCGAAAAAGCTTTGAAAATTTAGCAGGCTGGCTGCACGAATCAAGGGCTCACATTGAACCACAGAAAGTAGTGTATGTTGTTGTGGGCCACAAAGCTGACAGGGATGATGAAAGACAAGTCACTACACGGGAGGGCAGAATGTTTGCAGAAATGAATGGACTGAAATACATAGAAACCTCCGCTAAGACTGGTCAAAATGTGGAAGAGGCATTCCTCCTTGTAGCACGAGAAGTGCACGCATTGTTGGAGCAGGGAAAGATTCGTGTGGAAGAGGGTTGGGACGGAGTGAAGAGTGGATTTGCCCGACCAGCACAGCCATTCCATGTAGCTGAGGGAGAAAATGAAAGTGGAGGATGTTGTTAGTGCACGTGGATGTATTTGTTTGTATTTCATTGGTCAGTGGGTGTCATGTGATCATGACCATACACATAAAGTATTTCATTGGACAGTGGTGTCATGTGATCATGGCCATACTCATGATTTGAACTTGGTGTTTTAAGTACATTATGTATTGATTGCAATTCAGTTAAACAGTGAAACTTAATGGGTTTATTAAACTGTGAATGCAATGTTGTATTGAATCAGTACATCAACTTGTAATTTGTTTGATTAAACTTTGATTAAACTTAAAAATATTTTAACAATACAGAGTTTCCCATCGAAGAATAACAATGACATATATACATATTGCAACTTCTTTGTATTTAATTTCCTTTCAATTTGTTGAATTTGTTATTTTTTAATTTGTCATTGTTTTGTTTTTATATTCACAGCAAATGCATGTTCTTCCATTATTAATTTTAATGCACATCTTTTCTAAAAAAAAAGGATTTTCATCCCCTTTGCACAAACATTAACTTATGGAGTAGATTGAAATTCAAAATGTTAATTTGATGTAAATTTTATGGCTTAAAAAAAAAATGTAAACTAAGTCCCCATGCAGAGTAACTTTTGAAAAATGAATGTCTGATACACATAATTAAAATTGTCACTGCCAATGAATCAAAAGAAATATCTACATATATGTGACATGGTTCTAGAAACTGTATTTTGCACTATCTGAATGTATGTGTGTATGTATTGACATGGAGGAAAAAGATATACTGCAAGATATATCTAATATGTCAAGTGTAAATTTTCTTCTTTAAGAAAGCTTGAAGATTTGTAATGGTGCAATCTAAAAAAAAATGATCTTGTCATTTTGTCACATATATTTGTAAGAGTTGTGAGTTTGTTATTTATTCAGATTTTTTGCATTGTGTTTATGCATAAGATGTGATATTTTTTTGTCTCTTATTTTTAAAAAAGTTGGATTAATAAGTAATGGGTTTAAAATAGTCAGTGGATGGATTCAAACAAACAGTTTTATTTTACATTGTAGATCATAGTAATATTGCACTAACTTTTCCAAAAAATTTCAAGGCTTCAGAAACTCAGATTTTGTAGGAGTTATTGCCCCTATTATCTAGTTTTGTAGTAATTTTATTTTCAAGATTTTGTTAAATATCCATATGGGATAGGGAGGGTCGAAATTTTTTTATCATTGTAAGAATTTTTCAAAATAAAATAAGTTAAAACAATAGGCAACTATTTATGACTTAAGTGTTAAATTTTGATTTGCTGTTTAAAATTCTTAAATGATTGATTCATATAATAATGCTCAGAAAAATAGCCAGTGGACTTTTAAGCAGAGGTATATTTCAAAGTTGAATGTATACGGTTAGATTAATTGATACTCAGTATTGAAGGTCTTTCATTGTCATAATATTATTTAATTAGATGCCATAATACTGCACCACATGAGATGTTCTTTTGTGATGAACTGTAGGGTAGAAAATTATAAAACTTATACACAGACATGGAGTGTTCATTTGTGATGAACTGTAGGGTAGAGAATTATAAAAGTTTTACACAGGCATGGAGAGTGTTTATGTGTCATGAATTGTAGGGTAGAAAAAGAAAATCAAACTCCATCACTGTGATTCATATCAGTGCTCTATTGTTTTTCTTCTTTTTTTGTGATAATTTTTAGTTTTTGCTGTTTTATTTATTTGCCATTTTGTTTTCCACCAAGGATATACTATGTATATGCATGTGCAATAATCAAATTTAATGAAATAAATGTGCTTTGCAATTAATTCATTTTATTTCTCTCTAAATACAGGAATGTGTCATTCTTTGTATATATTACAGGTATTTTCTTTAAAATTCGTAGTAAGTAATTCTTAGCTCACCTCAACGAAGTGACACACCTCGGCATCAGTGTCCCAGGTTAAAGTTTTTGGAGCAGATTTCTTTAAATTTCAAGTATTTCTATGCCCTATATCAATTAGAGGTGCATGGAGGATGATTTTAGTATGTTTCATTGTACCAGTCAAGGTTTCAGATGCTGCATTTTCAGCTAAAGAATAACCAAATTAATGTTTTTGGAGTAGGTTAAAATTTTTGGAGCAGATCTCATTTCCAAGAAAATGTAAGTCCTATGTTGACCAACCTTGCATGGATGATATATCTAAGGATGCACACTACTGGACTTGCTTTGGATGCTGGATCTGACCTAGATTTTCAGGATGAGTGACCAGGGTAAAGTTTTTGGAGCAGGTCCTTTGCCAAGAAACTATAAGGCCTATCTAAACCAAACTTGCAAGGATGATGCATCAAGGGACGAACATTCTCAGACTTGCTTCAGGTGCTGGATTTGACTTATATTTTCTGGATGAGTGACTAGGTATAAGTTCATAGATAAGTCCATCCCAAGTAACTGTAAGCCCTGTCAGACCAAAATTGCATGAATGTTGCATCTAGGGATGCACACTACTAGATTATTAGTTTAGTGTGAGACTTTGCCTTACTTAAAGATAGCACTTGTTGAGGTGAGCTCTGTAATCTCTGATTACCTATGTTTGAAAGTAGAAGAGAGAAATCAAATAATGTTTAGAAAAGGTCATCTTATTATATATATCACTTCATGAATGAGCAGGCATACTTACTGCTTCACACCCTTTGTTAAGCATTTTGCAGTTGATGCCACAGAGACATTTCTCTAATTAACAGAAAATGTTGTTACATATAGCAACACAAGATTTCAAAACATCTCGAGCAAAGTTGAAGATATGCAATATACTGGGTATGAGTAAGCCTTTTACAGATTTTCAACTTATGATTAGTAAAACTTAACTGTCTAATCTGGGTGTTGTATTTTCCATAATCTTGGCTATTACAATGGAAACTTTTCATTTTTCAGTTACTGAAAAGTCATTTTCAGTAATTTCAATTGTTTAAAATGTTATTTAATCCAGGAAGTTGTCTAATCCAGCCAATTTTTCTGGAACTAGTGATGCCAGGATTAGACAAGTTTTACTGTATATTTAATAATAATTTTAAAATGTAGTCTTTATTTTTTTGAAAAGTTTATGAGAGTAGGCCTGTAGCAACATTTTTCAAATGCAGGAATTTTCCCAAAATGGATCTTTCAGTAACAGATAGAATGTGGTGGTGGTGGTGGTGGTGGTGGGGGGGGGGGGGGGGCAGCTGGGTCTAAATGAAAATTTAGTACAAATTAAAACTGAAAAAATGAGCAAAAGACTTTATTCTCAAAGTGAGCCCTCCCCCCTTGCATGTGTCCGAGGCAGTGTGTATATATATTAAAAAAAGTGAAAAACTGAATTCAAATATCTGAAAAAATAGGCAATACATTTCCAGCTGCAAAATAATTAAGTTGATCCTCTTACCATCATTAAGTTCCATTGGCAGAAGTGTCCATCAAATGAGGTATAAATGTCAACCCAAAGTAGTGGTCCTTCCGAGAGAAATGGCTAATAGTCAATAAATTTTTATTGCAACGTACTTATCCATCACTTTTATATAGAATCTTAAGAATATCAATACAACTATTTGACGTTAACCTGCATATTTTTCAGACATTCTGTGTGTATACTTGTCTCCAGATGTACAATTAAATGTATTTGGCATGGAATTGAAGTTCTATGGGCATTTGTGATTTGGAAAACAAAATGTACAATATAGTTGATGTATATGATGAGTGGACCAGGGATTATCATCTGGAATTGGTTATTCTACCACAGTTAAGATATGGATGCTTAAAATGTCACCAAATAATGAAACTTAAAAACAAGAAGCGTAGGAAAGGTTTTGAGGTAAGTGTTGGACATCATACACAAGTACTTATTCTTAAAGAGAAGGAATTGTGCTATTGATCAAAATAATTTCCTATGATCACTCACTTCAAACATCTACAAAGATTGTAAAAAGCAGAGGCCCATGGGCCACAATGCTCACCTGAGTCGCTATGGCCCTGCTAGCTAATCTTCATCAGTTGATTTTTACGAGTTGATGGTATCAACTCATGTTATGTGACTTATAAGGGATTCCCCAATGTATCAAAACTAATCACATTTTCATTTGAGTATTTTGCGTACAGGTTCTTGTATAATATTGGTTTATTTACCGTTTTCATAATCTACAGAACAAGAATATGTTTCCTGATATGCTTTAAAGTGTTTATAAACATAAATATTTATTATTAATTTTATTGGAATTTGTGTCCATCCGCGAAAGAAAATAGTGTTAGGGGCATGCGGTCAACAAAAGTGACATGTCGTGCAAACAAAGTTTTGATTTATAAATCAATAAATGTTTTATATAATAAGAAGTATTTTGAAAACAGATTTTTAAAGAAAATTCACAAAATTGAACATTTACAAACCAGGTTATTTTTAAAAGATTGACGTGCTGGTGGTATATAAATAAAGTAATTCTTGCGCTGTTATGCTAATGAACAGAGCAGTTTTTCCGCGTTAGTGATGAATCGTTCAACACAGAGAACACTTCCTATGTTTGTAAACAAGGCGAGAAGTATGCAGTAAGGAAGGTCGAAGTAAATCAGCTACTAATCTCAAACGGAAGAAATGAGCTGTACTAGTTGAAAAAACAATTTTAAAATTAAAGTTCTTATTTCTTGTGCAAGTAATAAAATATTTCGATTGCTTAAAGGGTCAGATTTTTTCAACAGCGGACAACTTTGTGCTCCAATTTCTTTTTCCCTGTTAAAAACACTGTTGAGAATTCCTGTCTTCCACAATCTAGATCTGTTTCACAGCAAGCTTTAAATACAGCAATGGTCACTTAACACGCCTATGATTCTTATCTCAATTGTCGGCACTACACTGGAAAGTGGTTTTCTTTAATATGTCCAGCTGTGTTTTGCTACCAGATGCTGGCCATGTTATAAAGTGAATTAATAGTACTGAAGGCGATAAATAAAAACAAAAAAATTAAGTGGGATGTTATTGATAAATTAAATGTGAAATGCATATTTATAAATGTGAAATGATCAAGAAATCAAATTAATTCAATAGTAGATAGATCATGTAAATAGTCAATATCATGTCATTGTGATGAATTTAAAGTCTTAAGTCGAAAAGCCGAACGAATTTTTAAATGCATACATGTATCAATGAAAGTCAAGTAGTTGAATTTCAAGAAAGGCTAAACCGAGAGAAATGATATATAAAATGTGCATGTCAATTAAAGTCAAGTAGTTATATTCCAAGAGTGACTAAACTAACCGAAAAAACATATAAATTGCTCATTTCAATTAAATGTCAAGAAGTTGAATTCCAAGAGTAGCGTAATCAAGAATATTATTGTGAATGATCATAAAAGACAGGGGGCTGAATATCAAGAGTGGCTAAATCAAAAGATTTGAAATATCATATGTGCATGTAAATTTTGAAAAAAGGAGTTGAATTTCAATGAAATCTACATATAAATGAAAGTAAAAGATGTAAATTTTAAGACTGGCTTAATCACGAGAATTGGAACATATTGATGTGCATTGAAAATGTCAAATTGTTTGTCAGTTTAAGAAAGCAGTGAAAATATTCAATAAGCATGTTAATGAAATAATTCAATTTGCGCTATTTGTAAATAATAATTCCCTATTTGTAATACTATAGTAGGTTTGACCTATTAGTTTTAGATATGTGTGTTTAAGGCTTTTTCTTTTTCTTTCTTCCTTTTTTTTTTCTTTTTTTTTTTTTGTCTATTTAGGAGTTGTTTTAATACTGTTATATGATTTTACAACAGTTGTGCCATTTGTCCCTATTTGAAATTTCTAGTCATTTGATATATAATATTTCTGTCAAATGACATCGAGTGACCAAAAATTGTTCTCGGTAGTTTTAATGATGATAGTCTGTGCTCTGTGACCATTTCAATGATGGTATCCTTTAATATTTTGTAAAAATACAAATTACTTTAAATGCAAGCTACATTGCCATTTTATGAAAAATCCCAAAACTAGCTAGTATTATTTGTTTTCTATGTTTAAGGGTTCGATTTGTGATAAATTATCATACATTCCAGTAAATATTAAAGAACAAAAATGAATATACATGTTAAAAATACATGTTGCAAAAGGTGTAAATAAAATGATATAATTTTATTTCTCAAAGAAAACAAAAAGAAAAGATTTTAAAGTGATAGCTTTCATCATTGAACATAATATCACATATCCATATATGGACTAGAGACCTCAACTCATTTAAGAGGGCTGGGTGGTCGTGGCCATTTTTAGACTATATTGATCTCCTTTAAAAGAAGAGCTCCATATAAAGATATACAAAAATGATCAAATTTTAAAACTAAAATGTATGAATTTTTTCTTTGCCAAATGATAGTTGACAGCTTAAGATATCATATCTAAAAAAATAAGTTATATCTGATGGTTAATTTGTTGACCCCCAGCCTCCTTAAACATTATATAATCAATACCATCAACTCGTAGTAGTACTTTCAGTACTTTGATTTCCCTATGTGTTCCTAAGCAAAACTTTGATCACCTATTGTGGTCTTACTCTATCCCCAGGAGTCATGATTAAAAAAAAAAACTTGAATCTACACTACCTGTCGATGCTTCTTTATTAATATGGCTAATCATGCCTTTGCCATTCTTGAGAAGATTTTTGAAGATTTTTGCTATATATTCCTATGATAAAATTTAAATCATCTAATGTGGCCCCACCCTACCCCCAAGGATAATGATGTAAATAAACTTGAATCTAAAAGTTCTACCTGAGGATGCTCCCAGTTATCAATATGACTATTCATGTCATTGCTGTCCTAGAGAAGATTTGTAAAGATTTTTTTCCTATATATTCCTATCTTAAACTTTCATTGATCGCCCATTGTGGCCTCATCCTACTTCCAGGGGTGATGATTTGAAGAAAACTGAAACTACACTATGTAATGAAGCTTTCGCATAAGTTTTCATTCTTTTGGCCCAGTGGTTCCTGAGAAGATTTTTAAAGATTATTCCCATATATTCCTGTGCAAAACTTTGATCACCTATTGTGGGCCCCTCCACCCCCCAGGGGTCATGAATTGTACAAAGTTGAATCTACACCACCTGACGATGCCCACATAAGATTCACCTTTACTGGCCTCTTGGTTCTTAAGAGAAGTTTTTTTTAAATTAAAGATGACATTAAATTTTCACAAATTCTTAATTATCTCCCTTTGGAAGAGGATGTGGCTCTTCATTTGAACAAACCTTCACCCAAGGATACTTTGTGGCAAGTTTAGGTAAAACTTCCCAAAAAAGTTAGAAATGTGAAAAGTTTACAGAGGAACAGACAAATGGACATCATACAAAATTAGAAAAGCTCAATTGACATTTTGGCTCAGGTGACCTAAATATTAAAATTTGCAAAGGATTGGTCAATTAAAACTGCAAAATATAATGAACATCCATAGAGAGGGACATTTAAAACACAGTGACATATTGCTACACAGACCTTTAAAGGTTGGTCTAGAACCTGAAACAAGGTCAATTGCTAATTGTACACCCCTTATTAATCTAATAAGGTTTGTAGTTCATATAGCACAAACAGAAACTGAAATACTTCCAGATATAATATCATTCTTTTAACATTTTTCTCAATGAACTAAGTATGTCATGGCTTGTCGTAGTGCAGTATTTATAATAATTACACAATAACTGCATATGAGAAATAACATAATACCCCATAAAAATCTCCCTTCATGAGTTAAAAGCCCTTAATTACCCTCTTCAGAACATGCTTAACTTCTTTTGAGAAAAGTTTATAATTACAACTCTAATGTAATAAGTGTTACATTTCTCATGGTACATCCACATCAGAACAGTAAAACAATGTGTACAGATCAATTGTATGACTATCTTTCTGCTCTAGCTGTGACCTTGACTTTCTCCATATGCCCTGTAATGTGCACATAGCCTATACTGAACTTCTTAAAATTCAAAGTGAATCTCAGTCTCTTTGTGAATTTTGCTCAAATGACATTTGTGTCTTTTTGTCCATTAATTAATTTACAATCTTTGCATCAAACTGTGTGAAGATTGAAAGGTATTCATTCTTAAGGTATATCCAAGACAAAATTGATTAGATGAAGAGGAAATTATAAAATATAAAGAAAGAACCGAGGCTGTGAAACTAAAAATATTTTATTTTCTAACAATAGATTATGTATCATATATAAACAAAGAAATTCAGATATTTGCATCTAACAGATGTAAGGAAAAAAGAATGTATAAATAATTGCTCTCATTATAGGGTAAAAGGTATTAGTTGCTATATATGTATATATAATTTTTATGATAAAATAGAATGTTAGATAGAATTTATCACAGGAAGTAAGATAATATCCATAATAATATCATAAAACAAGAAGTATATTATTATTTAATAACCTGAGAAATCATGTGGAGCCAGGGTCACCTTTGAACTTGTATAATCTTTGGAAAACTTTGATTTGAGACAAATATTACACTTTGCTATAGAGATCAACATAAAAAAAGACATTTTTAAGTGCATTGCTCCATTCAAAATTATAACCAATCTATGATTTTCTACAATGCCAGGTAGTATGAGCAAGTAACACATTCTGGGGGGTGGGGGGGGGGGGGGGGTTATACAGTTAATCCTCATTATCTTTAACTCAATGAGATCAAGAAAAAAACTTCTAGAGCTTGGATAGCTGAGGATTTGATATATTCAGGTTAAAATGCAGATACATGTACATCTAACAGAAAAGGGGGTTTCCTCAACATATCCATGATATTTGAGAAATCAAAATTCAAGATACTGCAGTTCAACTGTATTTAGACAATAATTTCCCTTGGTTACCAATATTATCCTGGTATTGAGAAATCACCCCCCCCCCTTTTCCCCCAAGGCATATGGTTTTTGTTGCATGTACTTACTCATGAATGTAACAAATCACATTAATATCCATGTTAACAGTGTTAGTGATGTTTATAACATTTTCAACAGTAAAATTGTCTAAAATACTATACAGTTATGGACCCTTTCGGTGGTGAATTTGGTTTGATATTCGCCAGAAAAATATCAATACTTGAGGTGTTGTTTGTGATGTCAGGATTGCCCCTGCAGGCACACTGACCCTTTGGTGAATAAAGCTTCAAATCCAGAGGAGATGCAGTGTTTGAGTTTATATAGATTATATAGGGACTATGAATAGACTATATAATAATGTAATTTATTTATTGAATAAAAGTGATATTTTTCACAGTGTGAAAAATTTATATCAGAAGTGAGCCAAAACTCAAGATTTTTCTTCCCTTAACAGTGTTGTAATATTCCTTAGCCTGTTATGTTAGCAAGATTAATAAACCATCCTGTTTGTGGATTTGTTGAGTCTGTTTTGATAATAACAAAATTGCAGTATCACTCTAAAAAAGCATCTTAAATTCCAATATCAGATACCCTGTATTTAGAATATCATTGCTAAAAACATTGCACATGGTAACAGATGCTGATATATTTTAATTATTGGCTAGTTTCAAAAATTAATGCCAAAATATACATTAATATCAATAGCAAGCTGAATTCAATAAGTGTTGTCATTTAATTAGGTTAGTTATCATTAATATCATTCATATGTTTTACTTAACAAATGCTTAGAATATTTTATTTAAAAGGGATTTTCCAGCTTAATTGACATCAAGAAATAATATAAAATACTGGGATATTTTTTTATAACATTTTCAACAGTGAAGTACTGTAATTTATCCACTAATAAAACTGATATTTTCACAGACGTTATTTTCACGGTTAAAAAAAATGTAATTTTCACAGTGAAAATAAAAAATCTGCAGCAAAACTCTCCTTCCCTTCAAGAAGAGTCAGTTTTAAAAAATACTCTCTACATGTATATATAGAAAGAGTGAGTAAATCATCTTGGCACAGACTAAAACCACCAAAGTTTCTCAAATTTTTGCTAAAATCCATGTTTACAACTGCATGAAGTTTCATTTTCAAATCTCACAATTGCTAAAGCTAGCTAAGTCATATCAAGCTATGACATCACAGCCTAAGCCACGTACTACATAAGGAAATGACAACTTTCTACAGGGGATAGTGACAAAAAGGGAAAAAAAACAAAGAAAATGAATGTAATAAACACAAATCTCAATGCTTTGTAGTTGGATATGGAGTTTATTTCACTTAAGAGACATGATTTTTTTTTTATATTATCACTTGTGCTTTGCACTTGCAAATGAAATTCTGTCCCACTCTTAAAATAAATTTTATATCAAACTTCAAAACATTGAATATCCTCTACATATTACACACCACTATTTTTAGTGTCCTATCTATAAAAAGTCACTTAATTCTGATCAAAATACAGCTTTCACAATATTGTTACAACAAAGCAACCTTTCATTTCACAGCATCCAAACACCATTTAATAAACAATTTTTAACAAAAAAAAAAAAATGCGTGTTTAAATTTTACACTCTGTGGAATTCAGACCGTCTGGCCAGTCATAGGTTGCAGGTTCAAAGCTTTTGTAGGACATGTCATACTGGTAGGATTGTACAAACTTTTTCTTGTCCTCAGGCTCTGGGTAGTGGTAGGCCAGCTTGTGTTTGTAGGCAAAGTTAATCAGTCCAATGGCAATATCCGTGGAGACTTGGAGGATACGGGACAGGGGAGGGTACACCAGCCCCATGGCTAAACTTTTGTCATCTACCATGTCAGCCAGCAACTGAAAGCAAAAGTATCCCCATCTCTGTACATAGTGTTACAACATAAAGAGGTTTTGTCTTAGAATGTCTCAATTGCTCATCTATACATATCTAATACATGTACCATGGATATGTCAAAGTGAATTGAAAGTCCTAACAATGTTTTCTTTACGTAATTTACCATAAATATCTCAAAATCTCATATATCTTGAAGTTTTTTCTTGGTCCCGTCGAGTTCAAGATAACAGAGGTTTGACGGTATTTGTATGTAAGTTAGATAAATTCATTATCTACATGTATTTGTTCTAAAATTATTAAAATCAATATTGTATCTACCAAATTTCTGTCTGTATATTCTCAAAAACTTTACCTTTGCTGATTCTAAGAAAACTTCCTCTGTAATGGACCTAATATCACACAGAATAGTAGCTAGAGCAATGCCAGGGAATATGTAAGCATTGTTGCCTTGACCAGGATGAAAAGTTTTGCCATTGTATGTCACAGCAGGGAAAGGACTACCACTGGCAAACACACATCTACCCTGTAAAGAGAGTCAAAGTCATTATAGAGACAGTTCTAGGAACTTCGAAACACAGGACTATTCGATCACAGTGTGTTGGTTAGACTAACATCTTCTATCATCTTAACCAGAAGTCTATGATGAGACTGTAGCTTACTGGTTTGTAGAAAAATATATCACTAATAATAAGAAAAGTATATAGCACTTGGAATTTAAACTGCATGTATACATGTGTCTCTGACCAGTATAGCTAATTAAATAGCAACTGACAAATACTGAAAATAATGGGAAAGGCCTTTGAAGGAAACACTTCGTAAGAAGAGAAAAAAAACTTTTGCAAATTTCCTTCTCTATACCATGTATACAGAAACTTTACTTCAATCATTTTGTTGATGACTTTTCAAATTATAATTTTTGATTATTACTTTCAAATTAAGATATTTCATGCACATTTATATAGATTGATTGTGTAGTTTTATATCCCAGCCTTGCAAGGTTGCTTCACTCATATGTGACATCACCATATGCCAGTGAAGGGCTCCAAATGTAAACCTTTGCTTGGCATTGCACAGTGAGGATCTTAATGTTGTGCCAATGCCTGTCATGACATGGGGGCCTCGGTTGTTAATGTCTCATCCAAAAGACCCAAAGTGTCACTTCAAAGTGCTAAGCACTTGGAGAAGGAACAGCTACTACCTATTTTTGTTGACTTACATATTGCTAGTTTGTCATGGCCAGAACTTCAAACCAAAACCTAGCTTCTGATCATAGAGCAAGCACTAGCTCTACCGACTGAGCTATTGTGACAGTTCCTTTCATATTGGGTTTCCTATATGCAAATGAATTATTCATATGGTACTGTAAGGGAATACTACCTGGGTGGCTTTATAAGCCTGTTCTGCTGTGCATTCTGCCTTACTGGTGGGATTACTCAAGGCAAACACAATAGGTCTCTCATTATTGTTGGCCATGGCAGTCAGAATTTCCTCTGTAAAAGCACCAGCTACAGCTGCAGCACCTAAGGAAAAGAAAAAGATGATGTAATAATTCTGATAACAATGGTTTACAAAAATCAGAATTGCATAGTATTACTTCATGAATTTTAAATGCAAATACATATATCCACTTGTACTGTGATATGGATAAATTTTCTTCTAATTACCATTTTCTCTCAATAATCAGTACATGCATGGATATGTTCTCTATAATCCTTGACAATAATTAAGGCTTAGCAGAGTAAGAACTATAACACTAGTTTGCAGTAATTCATGTGAAACCCTTCTTACTTACCTATAATAACTGTTGGCTTTCATACTTACTTATAATAGCTGTTGGCTTTTCTTACTTACCTATAATAATTGTTGGCTTTTCTTACTTACCTATAAGGCTGTGGGCTTTCTTACTTACTTATAATAGCTGTTGGCTTTCTTACTTACCTATAATAATTGTTGGCTTTTCTTACTTACCTATAATGGCTGTGGGCTTTCTTACTTACTTATAATAGCTGTTGGCTTTCTTACTTACCTATAATAATTGTGGCTTTCTTACTTACTTATAATAGCTGTGGGCTTTCTTACTTACCTATAATAGCTGTGGGCTTTCTTACTTACCTATAATAGCTATGGGCTTTCTTTCTTACCCATAATAGCTGTTGGCTTTCATACTTACCTATAATAGCTGTTGGCTTTTCTTACTTACCTATAATAATTGTGGCTTTCTTACTTACTTATAATAGCTGTGGGCTTTCTTACTTACCTATAATAGCTGTGGGCTTTCTTACTTACCTATAATAGCTGTGGGCTTTCTTACTTACTTATAATAGCTGTTGGCTTTCTTACTTACCTATAATAATTGTTGGCTTTTCTTACTTACCTATAATGGCTGTGGGCTTTCTTACTTACTTATAATAGCTGTGGGCTTTCTTATTTACCTATAATAGCTGTGGGCTTTCTTACTTACCTATAATAGCTGTGGGCTTTCTTACTTACCTATAACAGCTGTGGGCTTTCATACTTACCTATAATAGCTGTTGGCTTGACTTTTTTAATGACATCCACCAGCTTATCTATGGGAGCATGGTCCTGTGCAAATCTGATTTTAGGGCCAGTTACTCCCCCTGATGGCCGGTTCTAAGGGAAAGGGAATATAGAAATATGTTTATACATATAATTACTGACACTGAAATATTAGTTAAAGGTAATACACAAGTTTTTTATTTATATGTCAATGTAAGCATGAAATAAGTACATGTACATGTGGCTCAACCTTGTGTAAAAAAAAAATGCATTATAAAGCTAGAAAATCAAAGATACATTTGTCTACTTGCTAATCTAATATATTACATGGAATAAGTTAAGGTGGTAAACACAGCAAACATTACTGTACCTTGACAATAAGTCCCCTTGAATCCACCATCCACACCCTTTTGATGGCCTCTGCTTCTGAAATACCTGTTTCTACCATAGCCATGACCAATAAAGAGGCTATACCAATGGAGGCCTATTAAAAATTGTCAAAAATTTTGTCATTAAGCTACAGATTTATTATAAATGTTCTATTTGTATTTTAATATTTACTGGTTGATGTAAATTAACCAAGATAAAATAAAAAATGATGTTACTTTTAACTTTATATACAGAGAAATTGAATTTCAGATACACCATAAGATCAAAATATAGAGTATATGTACATGTACATGTTTGATACAACTTACAATATGCATGTTTTGTAAATTGATTAAACTATAAATACTGTTACAAGTTAAATCCAAATTTCTAAATGATTATGTACCTCTCCAGCTCCCTGGAAGACAAACACATTGTCTTTTAATGGCTTCTTTGTGATCTTGAGACTGGCTAGAATTCCTGCCACCGCCACAGCAGCAGTACCTAATTATAAAGGAGAAAATGAATAAATATCATGTTACTATACTGCTAATATAAAAAGGGAGTGAGCAAGATTCAAGTTCCCCAAACCCAGGACTTAATTTCCTAAGGCGAAGCCAAGGGAAGTAGTTCTGGTCAAGGGGAACTGAATTCTCATTTAATTGTATACTTTTGAACTGTTTCATTATACCGATACAAAAGTAAAATTTAGAGGATAACTGGGAATTAGCATTCAAAGCAGAGATTAGCTCACTTGACTAACTTACAGGGATTTGAAACAATCCACATATCATCACAAAATAAAAGTAAAATCTAGAGGATTGCGGATAACCGGGAATTAGCTTTTGAAGCAGGGTTTAGATCACTTATTACTAATGCATGGGAATTAGTCCATTCATAGTGATTTCTAAGGAATAAGTAACATTTAATTTTCTAATTTCATATAGAGAAAAAATCAGTAGAGGTATGATAAATACATTTCAATTAAATCATCATCTCTAAATTGTTTCCACTTCAAAAGTTACTCTATAGTAAGAGGTTCCTGGACACTCCAACTTGTTATCTTTGCCCTGCTGATCTTCAAAAGATTTTCCCCATCCTTATTTCCATGAAAAATTTTGACCCAATATAGGGGTACTCTTGACTTACGCAAATGGAATCCACACAACATTGGGATACTTTTATAATTTCCTTGTCTTAAGGAATTTTTTTCCTGTATACATACATGTATTATATATATTGTAAAATTTGAGCAAATGTTCATGTTCATTTAGGATTAAGCTTTCATAATTTTCTTTTTCTTTTCTGGCCCAGGGGACTGTGAGAAGAAAATCTTTAAAACATGCCATCTAAGACCTAAATTTTACAGTTTTTAATTATCTTCCATAATTGAAAGATGAAATAAGGAGATAACAAACAGTATACAAGCTCAAAGTCCATTAAAACAATACAAATCGGGAGCAGAGCAAACATGGTCCTCCAAAAACATCAGTGGTGGGATCAGGTGCCATAGAGGAGTGAGCATCCCCTGCCTACTGGTCACATCCGCTGTGTGCTCCTTGTCATGAATGGGAAATAATAGAAAAATTCACCGACAATTCAGATATAGTTTTACTCTTCATTTGAACAAACTTGAATCCCTTTCACCCAAGAATGCTTTGTAGCAATTTTCTCGATTTGCCCAGTGGTTCTGGAGAAGACGTTCAAAATTTTAAAAATTCTGACTACTCCTAACAGATAGACACCAGATACTCTTTGATCAGAAAAGTTCACAGACTTTGGAATCTTGGATAAGGATAATAAATAAATAATCTAAATATAAAATAATACAATGATATTCATTATACATGTACATAAGATAAATGAAAATTAATCACTTTGCAAACATACTGTAACCAGGAGTCTCTGACATGACTGAAGCTCTGTGTACTTATAAAAATGAAAGATGTATTTTAGTGAAGTCTGCTAGCCTAAAAAGTCTAATCAGACTAAAAATTTAAGAGGAGTAGAATTTAAAAAAAAAAATTAAAGAAATTTATTTTTTGGGGTCATCATGGCAACATCTTTCGTCATAATAAATAAAACAAAACCAGAAGTCTCTAATGAGACTGTAGCTCTACTGGTTGTACTTATAAAGGAAGATAAAAGTAGCACTTGGACTTGAAACTTTGCAACAGCAATATATAGAATAATGATCCTTGGTTTAGTCTGTTTTTGTGGCAAGATTTATTGCAATCAGAATAAAACTGTAGGCAGAGTAGCTTTTTAAAATAATTTTACAGAAATTTTATTTAAGTAACCAAGGCAACATCACTCATCAAAATCAAAAAGCAATAATGACAATTATGTATCTCAGTGTAGTCTACTTGTATGCCAAGTTATACTGAACTCAGACAAAACATGTAGAAGGAGTAGTGTTTTGAAAGTATTTTTAAAAAATTCTATTTTTAGTAACCATGGCAACACCATTCATCAAAATCCAAAACTGGTACAGAGAATTATGTATCTTAGTGTAGTCTACTTGTGTGTCCAGTTATACTAAAATCAGACCAAAACTGTAGGAGGAGTAGCATTTTGAAAGTATTTCAAGGAAATTCATATTTTTAGTAACCATGGCAACACCGTTTATCGAAATCAAAAATGGAAATAAAGAATTATGTATCTTAGTGTAGTCTACTTGTGTGCCAAATTATATTGAAAAGAGATCAAAACTGTAGGAGGAGTAGCATTTTGAATGTATTTCACAGAAATTTTTATTTCTAGTAACCATGGCAACACCATTCATCGAAATCAAAAACAGATAAACAGAATTATGTATCTTAGTGTAGTCTACTTGTGTGCCAAATTATATTGAAAAGAGATCAAAACTGTAGGAGGAGTAGCATTTTGAATGCATTTCACAGAAATTTTTATTTCTAGTAACCATGGCAACACCATTCATCGAAATCAAAAACAGATAAACAGAATTATGTATCTTAGTGTAGTCTACTTGTGTGCCAAATTATATTGAAAAGAGATCAAAACTGTAGGAGGAGTAGCATTTTGAATGTATTTCACAGAAATTTTTATTTCTAGTAACCATGGCAACACCATTCATCGAAATCAAAAACAGATAAACAGAATTATGTATCTTGGTGTAGTCTACTTGTGTGCCAAATTATATTGAAAAGAGATCAAAACTGTAGGAGGAGTAGCATTTTGAAAGAATTTCATAGAAATTTCTATTTTTAGTAACCATGACAACATCATTTGTTAAAATCAAAAACCGATATACAGAATTTCGTATCTTAATGTACTCTTCTTATGAACCAAGTCTTATAGAAACTGAACCAAATCTGTAGGAGTAGCATTTTGAGAGAATTTCAAAGAAATTTCTATTTTTGTAGCTATGGCAACACTGTTTGTCGAAAGCTAAAACGGATATACAGAATTATGTATCTTAATGTAGTCTACCATGGATACATTGTTTGTCAAAATTAAAAACCGGCAAATAGAATTGTGCATCTTTATGTAGTCAACTTTAGTACCAAGTCTTACTGAAATTGGGCCAAAACTGTACGAGGAGTAGCGTCTTGAAAAAACACACGGACACACAGACAGACAGCTAGACAGACGAGTCACGATGAACACCTTACCAATGCATAAGCTCTTCTGGTCTCTGACAAGTAGAGCAAAAAATTAGGTGACCAGGATACAATATAAAAACTTTTAGTGAATCTCTTGTATTACCGGTACAACCCCCCCCCCCCCCCCTCCCCACATACACACACTTTAAGGACCAGGATAGAATACAGAGGCTTAGTGAATCTCTTAATGTATCACATCCCTCCCCCCCAGTCAACCTTTGCAGAGAGGTCACAGTTGAATTATTTATAATTCATCAAATTTTTAAAACAATGAAGATCAGAAATGAAACTAGTTATTAGAATCTTGATCCCTTATTTAGGTATACAGCAAAACACAGCGAAAACAGTTATACACATGTAATGAGTTAATGCTTCCAACAAAGTGATATTAGATTAATTCTCCGTGACTCTAAAATATATTGTAATATTAACAGGTATAACTAATTAGGCTTATAACAAAGCAAAATCGTCCGTCCCTGGCACTTCCTTATAAGCGTGTTTTACCGTAATTTGGAATAAAATAGTCTTAACAATTGTGAAAGATTGGTTACCTTGAATATCATCATTAAAAGTGCAATAGTCGTTTCTGTACTTTTCTAAGAAGCGGAATGCATTGTGATTTCCAAAATCTTCAAACTGGACAAGTACCTCTCTTGTATACCTAAAATTTTAAAACAATAAAAACACATTTTTTGAAGTGGAATGAAAAAAATAAATGAATCAATTACTATGTATTCACTAAAGAAAGAATGAAATAAATTTATATAACTTGATTATGATCTTGAAAAATGTATCACATTCATTTTCACTTATCCTTTACCTTTGAACACATGCCTGCATAAATTCATCTAGGAAGTCATCGTACTCTTTCCCTTGAACACGAGTTTGTCTAAGCCCGGTGTATAATGGATCATCTAGTAAAGTCTGCAAATGTAATATCAATTTAATAAGGAAATGTCTCTAAATAGTCATTGTTGTATTCTAGAGTTCCAAGTTAATTAATTCTTGTCATGCTTATAGATAATGAGAAGATTTAATTAATTATAACATTTACATGGATTTATAAGCTAATTAACCAATAATTAAACATTCGGTGTAAATATTCCCTTGAAGAGCAGCTGCAGTCATAAAACTTAGACAAGCTCACTTTTGATCACAGTCTCACTTCTCCAGTCTAAAATCCTTTTGTAAAAATGAGATCAAAAGTGAGTTCATCTCTGTTTTATGGCCCCAGAGCCAGATCTACATTACTTTGTTACTTCTTCTTTACTTCCAGCAAAATAGCTTGTTGTATTACACTAACTATAGTGGCCAGAAGAATTAAATTTAACAGCTAGTGTATATGGGCATCTGTTCAGAACCTGAACCCTGGATTCAACATCATTGTTCAATGGGGGGGGGGGGGGGGAGGTTACCTTGTTATTTGTCCCCACATCTAGCAGTATGGGGAGGCACTGATGGGGCTGTATCCCAGCCAGTGCTGTGTACAGGGACAATTTCCCCACTGGGATCCCCATTCCATAACAACCAAGGTCTCCTAATCCCAGAATTCTTTCTCCATCTGTCACTACTATAGCCTGAAAAAAAAATACATCAAGAATCCATCAGCTTAAGCAATGGTGGTTATAATAAATCACTACAAAAATCAATAAAAGAAGATTCAGTCTTTTTCATTCCTTTTTCTTTTCTTTCTTTCTCTCTTTTTTTTAATTCTTCTTATTTAATTTTAACTCTTATGAAAGATGCTATGGATTGACGTAAAATATCAATCTTAACAAATGTTTGCTTTTTTTCTTATGGGCAATAAAAGAATAAATTTTGAATACCAGTTCTTTTTTTCTGTAGTTATACATGAAGGGAGCAAAAAAGTATACATATTTCCTTCTCTGTTTAATTTATTAGACTTTCAATTAAAAGATAAGAGAATCTTTTCCAAACATTTAAATTGAACTAAGTGTACTGAAACCCACCTAAATATACTTATATATTCTTCTGATTGCATGTTTCAAAATATTTTAAATAGTGAAAAAAAATGAGAATACTTTATCATCAAAAGGTACAAAAGGTATAATTATATATTGAATATATGCACTTGAGATCTATTACATTGACTGAAATATACTCCAATTTTTGCATTTCATGTCAACAGGCTATTTTAGAGTGTTGTAGTTGGTATCAAATTGAGAAATTTATCCTTTTTCTTTCTTAATTAAATTAAAGATAGACATATGAACTGTCAAGAAACCCACACCTATCAATAAGGTCACATTTGATACATGTTGACACTAGCTGTGTCACCTGGTTTGACCTATATTTCAATATCACTGACCTAAATGTAAACAATTATTACATTAATGGCCTGATAAAGTATTACAATCATGGGTTCAAGGACTGTGTATTGTACAAAATTAACTGATAAACGTAGAAAACAAACCTTCACATCATCTATGGGCCAGTTACATAGAATATCAAATATATGTCCCTTGTCATATATCGTGATGTACAAGCCTCTGGAATAAACAGAAAATCAAACAATATTTTTTATCCATCATAAGAAAACTTTTTTTTTTAAAATCTAATCATGATTTATACATGTAAATATATAGTTTCATTCAGCTTTATTTCTCCCATTTTTTTCAATATCAGTTTTTAAAATTTGTTATATACCAGTGGCGGATTTAAGGGGGGGCGCATCCGGCGCGCCCCCCTAAAACTGTCAAAGTTAGCGTAAATCATAGTTTCGTCGAGAAAAAGTAAAAATGTCTACTTGGTAGACCTCATTTTTACCCTACAAAATCTCTAGAATCCAGGAGCTTCCGGGGGCTTCGCCCCCTGGACCCCCACCAGGGATTCGCCCTGGACCCACTGGGGGCCTCAAGGCGGACCCCCTGCCTACTTTTTGCGCCCCCTCTAACTTCAATTCCTGGATCCGCACCTGTATACAAGTTTTAACAAAGAGGGATTTAAATTTATTGAATAAAACCTTGTCTGATAAAAAGGTTTAAAGAACTTGCAAAAGATGAAATTTCTTATGTCAGCAAAAAAGGACAGCTTGCATATCCGGCTCCTTTCTGCACTTTTATACACTGCAGACTTAATTGATATTCAAAAACAATGATGTGTGAACTTGTCAAATAAATGACTGCTAAAACATAGGAAGTTCTGACGAGGAAGACACTAATCAGTGACTCATCCCATTTGAAACTCTTTAGTTGCCGACCACAAAAGGCTTGCTAAATGACCTGTCTGGTGCACTTGTATTGATACACTTAATTAAATTTACGCA